CAAATTATAAAAATAATATCAAAAAGAATTTTGATACTAAAAAGTAAAAATCGTAAAATTCGTTATMGTTATATGATTAACGTAATTTCAAATTCAAATTTCAATAAAAATTATTTTGGACATAAGATTGTACCATCCCCTCGTTCTTGTGAAAAATATATTTGTGGTACGCACAAAAAAATAGAGGAGGTCCCTCTGCAATCTGCATCCCTCCTCCCCAATTCGAGCACTGCTTCTCAATCCAAAAACTAAAAATATAATATATAAGCATTTGAAATCGGGTGAAACGTTTTGAATAATCTTGTATTATATATTTATATAATTATAATACAGTTGTAATACAAAAAATTGATATACATAATAAACGATCACTGATGATCTGAAATCTCTATTAAAAATTTAGAAGATTTAAGTACTCTGTAAATAATAATAGAGCCAAGAAAATATATTAAACAAACTAGCATTGCTGTCAGTTAAAAATGGTAGCGAAAATTCTAACCCACGAATTAGATATACATAATACATTGAACTAAACTTTTAAAGAGTCTAAAACGTCTTAATAAATTATAGCTAGGTAGGTACTTACTATAGCAACTAGCAACTACAGTGGTGTATACTTATGTATTGAAAATATAGTAAATTATTATTTTTACAGTTTATTCGACATTATAAATTATTTTTATGCTAACAAATCGATACTTGCACCAGCTATATATAAATATATATTATATATAACCCCTACTTTTGAAATTAATTTCTTATTACTAGTTATTATAAAATTGTATCTACAATCTAAATACATAATATTTACTTTACGGTTTACAAACTTTATTTACGAATTGATATATTTTGCTACCTATACCTTAATTAGGACTTATTATACAAATTTAATCCTATGTAGGTAAGTAAATCCTGATCTATATTGCAACATATATTTGGACAAAAATATTATTTCACTTATAATATAGTTACTAGGTAATAATAACAAACGTTAATTTAAATTTTAACCATAGTACAGAAGCATTATGTAATCGAATTATGATATTTTTTGACTTTGAATATGAATTATTGCTTTTCTTAATCGAGCTTTTATAACCTTTGTGTCTTTTATTAAAAAATAAATACGAGTAATATTAAACCAAGACAAAACAAATTTAATATAGTGAAGTGGTAATTAAAAAAATAATGATATGGTTATGACCCAAGTCAAGAGGATAATATGATAATTTAATTTTAATTAAAWCCGATAAACAGATTAACATTTTCAACTAAAATATATAAGAACCATTTATTTAAAACGATTTCATTGTTTCAATTTATCAAAGAAAATTAAAATTAATAACAGACGTTTGATTAATCTTTATTGTTATTGTTAGTTGATTATTTCCACTCTGGTTTATAGAATATAAACTACTGTTCAAAGTTAATGAGTTTGATAATAAGATCGGTATCTATCTAAGAAAATTAAAAATTATATTATGGGATTGGATGTAGGCCAATAAAAAAAGATTACTAAAATCAATATTCATTATAATTTAATACCGCCATAACGGTCATATACATCCTTTGCTCATCGTCATCACTATTTATAATGTTGTTCATCGCGACCTTTTTTTTTTTTTTTGTAATACAATAATAACAGGGCTGTGGCCTGTGGGTGAGTTGCGACCCGACGTGTCGTTTTCGGTGTTGGAGACCGCCAGATCGGTGAATTCCGGCCTGATAATATTTTAGCCGTAGGGTAGTTGCGGCCCGAAAATATTTTAGCTGTATATAAATTGCGGCCCGAGTAAATTATCATTACCCATKTACCTATATATATAGGTATACCTATTACCTACGTACCTGGCAGATGCGGTGTAAGATATTTATAGCGATAAACGAAATGTTCGAGAAGTATGGGAATTTATGAGTATATAATACGTATTTATGTAATGGTATATGATAAAAATAATATAGATCGTTTTATTGTATTATCTGCCGTATATATGACTTGCATTAACAACAACTATACGATAATATAATCGGTAGATAATATATGAATGTTTTTATTTATTTTTAATATTATTTATTTWTTTTTTATTTGTTAGGAGAACCCGCGGCAACATAGGCCATTGGGTGTGGGGTGGTACGGTAGGGGTTATTTTTGTATATTTGTTTGTAAGTTTTTAAGTGGGTAGGATTGTAACACGTGTTTGTATATGTGTGGCAAGGATATGTTGCTGAAAATGGGTGACCACCCGGGAGCTAACAACTGCGGCCGGTACGTACGCTCAGTGCGTTTCCGCAGATTGAGCGTACGACCGCGCATCACCAAGCTACTTTAATAYTATTATTATTATTATTATTTTTTAATTATCCCGTGGCAACTAAGGCCATTGGGAAGGGGGTAGTACTGTAGGTTCTTRTGGAACTGTAGGTTGGTTTTATACGTGGGTGAGAGTTTTGGCAGAATTTCTATTGGGGCACCCGTAGATTTCTGCCATGCCCCGGAGTGGGGATGGCGAATATTATTATTATATTAGTTATAGGTAGGTAACTAGGTATATATATTTTTATTTTTATTTTTTTTTTAAACAAACTATCCGTGGCATCTGTGGCCATTGGACGTAACATAGGTACATTTTACAATATTCATAATTATTTACATAATAATATTAAATAGTGAGAAAAAAAAGAAAGAAAGAAACATATTATAATAATATTATTGAAGGTAGGTACCTATATTATATTCTTGAAACGACAAATATTAGCTAGTATATGRCAATACTAGAAAATACGTAGGTAATATTAATAAATTCATATTGTGACTCTATGCACTATAAAAAGTATATAATATATGTAATATATAGATTATTGTGTGGCCGCAATACCTCTTTTAATCCCTGGGTGCAACTCGTAACTCGTACGTTAATATCATTCGATTTTCGGGTTGTGCATCGCTCGTTTACCTTACGTCATTTTACGTACCCATTGGCGCATCAGCGTATTTAACAATAGAACTGGAAGAAGTTTAGAATACCCAAAAGCGTAAGCTGTTTACCAACTTTCAGTTTAAAATTTAACTCTATTAATATATTCAATTTGCAAATATTGGGCAGTTATTTCTGTTTAAAAATATATATAGATATACCTACGTCTATTGCAAAGAGATTAAACAATAATTGTAGTGTACGCAATCGACTCATAATCACGAGTCACGAGTTCACGACCAATCTATAGAMTTTTATCGAAATATCTCTACAACTATTTGTAAGTATTACAAGTTATAATTATGTTTATATTAATTAATTATTATAATGTAATATACTATAGCATTACGTGTGCATAATTAAAGTAAATGTATAACAAATATTAAATATATTTACGTTTAACCAGATCTACGATTCTACGACACTAATAGTCATTGAAAGTTTTTTTAATATTTATACGCGATTTACTTTTCAATATTGTTCGTACCATTCTTCGATTGCTCGACTTGTTGCGCATCGCAAAACGAGGTACGATGTAATATTTGACACGGGTAAACAAACTATATGCAAACCAAGACTGATACCATGGAATAAATATAAATATATTAATGGAAACTGTAATTTATTGTATTGTCATTATTTATTATTTTATTAATTATTATTAATATGGGCCGTATTCAAGACTATTACTTTGAGTGACAGATTAATAGGGAATCATCCCCCTAAATATGCAATAAAAATACAAAAATATTTATATAGTATAGGACAGAGGTTAGGTTACAAATATTTAACTACAATTTATAAAACATGGGAATTAAATAAAATTAATGTACCTACCTATATGAGAAAAAAAATTTAATCTTGTTTATTACTCTGCGGTTTCTTGCCAGCAAGGGAAACCAGCATTTATTTTTAATTTACAAATGTAAAATGTGATTTAGTWGGCATTAAAATATTATTTAAATGACTAAACGGCTATGACCATTATATATTGTTTTGCAATTATTTCGTGTATTTATTTATCGATGCATGTWTGAATAAGAGCGTTATTTCTGTAGATAAATTAGAAAAATAGAAAATAAAAAGTGAGTACACCTATTCATATCACGCACGATGTAGAAAAGACAGAATATAAATACAATTTTATCTACACTGAGATATTTTGTTACATGAATAATTATATCACGTTAGTTCCAATATGTTAGACAGACTTTGGGACTTTATTATCAATTTTTACCAAAACGTTAGTGTATGGTGGTTTGACGGAGAGTGGTTGAGTGTATATATATATAAAGGTACAGTAGTAGTATACACTAGTGCCTACATAATGTAATATACCACTTATATCAACCTAAAGATGCTGAGCTTTTAACATCAACAAACCACAAATTGTATAAATATGTTTCAAAGTATATGCGAGCAGCTAACCTAACTATATGTATGTAAAAATGGGTAAATTAATTGTCATTATTTTAACTAGAATAATTAAAATCATGTATATATTTATCATTAGCACTAAATTATTTTATTTCACGGTTAGATTCTGAACAGACTATTGGAGCGATGATTTAATTTATCTTTTATGCATAATAGTAAAAATATTTGCAATGAGGGATAAAGAAGTGTAAATGTTTGAACATTAATATAATATAAAT